CATGTGCGTGGAATCATTACAACATGTGGCCTTTTGTGTCTGGCTTCTTCACGCAGCAGAATGCTTAACAAGGTTCTCCATGTTGTAGCGTATATTGGTATTCATTCCTTTTTATGGCTGAATAATATTCCATTATGCCATTAGATCACGTTTTGTTCATCCATTCATCCGTCGATTTGGGCTGTTTCTACCTTATGGCGATTGTGAATACTGCTGCTGTGAACTTGCATGTAGAGGTATTTATTTGAGTCCCTGTTTACAGTTCTTTTGGGTCTATACCTAGGAGTGGAATTGCTGGGTCATATGGTAACTATATACCTTTTTAAGGAACTGTGGGACTGCTTTCCGTAAGAGTAGCTACCATGTCCTACTTTTTATTAGTAGGTGCGGAACCTGAGGCTCAAGAGTGGAGAGGATAAGTTTTGCTCCAAATCTCACGGCTGGAGGCCGGGCTGGGATTTGAACCCAAGCCCCCCGAATCTAAGTGATATACTTTCCTTCATGGCAGCAGAGCTGGCCCAGGACCACTACCTGGCGGGTATTAAGTGCTTAAAGTGAGCTGCTATTGGACTGAGCCTTTGTGTGGAGTGTCCTCGTTAAGCCTTGCAGTCTCTGATGTGTTGGTGCAGTAATTCCCCCCATTTCACAGATGGGGCGTTGACCTCAGAGAGGCCCAGGTCCTAGCCAGTTCTGCTTTGTGCTGTCACCCTGAGCTGGTTCGGGGGCTCACGCTTGGAGGGCCGACCTGGTCTACTTGCCCTTGTGATGTATGGTCCTGAAAAGAATGTTTGCACAGATAACCTCATAGCAACATAAAGGGGATTGGGGGTTAAAACATTAAAAATATATTTACGCAGAGACTCAATAAGGCCATCATTCCCTAATCCAGTCGCCTTTTCCATCTTTGTCCCCGCCTAGCGCTTTCTCATAACCGCAGTTCTAGTGTGCATCAGGTTTACGGTCACGTCGCGCGTGTGTGTTTTGACTTCACGTGGTATCTTACACATTTTCTGGTGTCACTGCAATCATTTCTTACTGCTTCAATGGATACAACTTCCCACTGAGAGAACAATCTAGTTACCCTGACATTGGGTCTATTTTGCTTGGTTTTTTTTTCTTATTACAAATAAGGCTGCAGCAAATATTGTGACAAGGACCTTTTTTCTCCTTTGGTTGTTCCTTGAGTTAGATTCCTGCGAGGGTGGTCGCCAGGGAGAGGGTTTAGTACCAGTGACCGTGGTGTTTTCGGAAAGGGTTGTCCTGGCTTGTGCAGCCGCCACGTGACAGTCAGTTTTTCATGGTGACTCCATGTGGGTCCTGGAGCACGGTGGTGGCCGGGCCAGTGGCTGGAGCTCTTAGCGTGTCCACCCTCCCCTCTTGCTGTTCACATGGCACAATTTCTCTTCACTGCCCAAAGCTTGGGCCAGCTATTGAGATATTCCTGGGTGGAGTGACATGGGACAGGTCAAGGCACCTTTCCAGGAGCCACAGCCTCCTTACCTGCAGGGGGCTGTGAGAGGAGAGGGTTTTGGGCACATGGGCGCATGGGCACTTCTCTGGGTAAGGACCACAGAGCACCAGCATCTGCCCGCCTCCCACGTCTTCACCCCAGGACCTCCACACTGGCGTTCTGTCTGCCAGGGTCACCCTCCCTGCAGGCCTCTCTCACCCTCGTCAAGTCTTCGCCCAGTTGTCGCTTTCTCAGTGAGACGGCCCTGACATCTGATGTGAAATGGCACTCCCAAACCCTTTGCCCTGTTGTTTTTCCAAACCACAGTGTTTGTGTTCCAAGGTACCGATATTGCTTGATCTAGTTATTATATTTATTGCTTATTGTCTGTTTCCCCAAATGGAATATAGGCCACGATGGTGGGTTCTTGGTTCGGTCACGTGTGCCCAGAGGGTGCCCTGTCCTGGTCTCAGCCAGGCCCACTCCTCCTGACTGCCTTTCCCAACGCGTTTTCCTCACCTTTCTGTGCTGGTGTTCTCCTCACTTGGCCCTGCTCCCGCCCGCACCCCCCGGCTTCTCTCTGTCCTGCCCCCGGCCTCTTCCACCTGTGGGACAGCAGGGGACCTGAAGGGGCCACGTCTCTTGGACGGGCTGGGGCACCCGGGGCCCCTCGTTGGCATGGGGCCACATTAGCCAGGGCTGCCCAGGCCTTGAGGAGGGGACTGGGAGAGAAGGTGCTGCCAGTGCCAGCTGGGGAAGGCGGGCAGCCACCCACGCAGAGGCCCCCCTCACTCTGAGTTCCCCAGGTGACTGAAGAGTGAAGGGGGAGCCTCTGAAAACTTAAGAATTGAGTGTGTGCTGGTTTCTAACCGTCGTAGGAGCAGGAGTGGCTCATCCTAGAAAGAGCCTGCCTGCCAAGGCCCGTGCCCGCCCGGGCCACACCCGCCCGGGCTCCACGAGGCCTGCCCGCAACCCCTCCCCAAGTCTCAGTTTGGGAAAGCACAGGAAATTGAAAAACACCCCCCGCCACCCCCATCTGCGGCCTTTGAAGGGTGCACCTGAACTGCCCAGAGTGTAAACCGTGGTGAAAATGTGGTCTTTCCAGTTCAGGGACAAGGAACAGAGCAGAGCTAGGATTTTTTGTGCCCGGGGCAGCTTCCAGGAGCTCCCTGCCTCCCTACCCTGGGCCCCGGCGCCATCCCCCTCTGGGACTGGGCTGCTGGAGGAGGTTCACCGGGTTTCTGGCCAGCAGCTGGGGCTGGCGACTCCCCCCCCCCGACACTGGGGCACTGCCGTCCACCTCTTCCCCTCCTGGCTGGAAGGCAGTCTGTGGCCATCCACCTGGTGGTGCTCACACCTGGGACACCTGTGGCAGCGGGGAGCCTGCTCCCTCTGAGACCCTCCCTTTCCTTGTCGCCCAGAGATGCTGATTTAGAGTAGAAAGAGGAGTCAGCGCCCCTCTCCCTGCCGGTGTTAGCAAAGGGTCCTCAGGCTAGAGCTGGGTCCACCCTGGTAGGGGGTCGTCATGGGGCCTTGGTGACAGTACCATGTGTGCGCACCTGCGTGGGCTCTGCGGAGAAGATCAGCTTCTCCGACGGCTCTGTGACCCCAGAACGTTAAGAACCACAGTGCAGGATTTCACCTCAGCATGCCCCGGCGGGTCACGTGTTCACCGCATGCATGGGACGAGCTGGGGCCCTTGCCGCAGGGAACCTGGGGAGCCCGGCCCTGCTCTGGGTCCTGGGAGCATCATGGTCGTGATGCGTGGGAGCGTGCTGTGGGGCTGTGGGGCGCCACCGCGCCCTCCAGATCCCACGCACGACTGTCTTCCCTGTGAAGGCCACTCTGCCTCCCGTCCTCACTGATCTTCCGCCGGAAGGTTCCGGACCCTCCGTGATTCTGGGCATAATCCCCTGTCCCTTCTGTGGCTGGCGTCTGACCCTCGATACTACCCGGCCAGTGGTGGGCGTTGCTCCTGCTCCATGTCCTGGAGCCTCTGGTGGGGGTGGGGACCAGGACCCTTCCAGGCCAGCGCCCCCTTCCTTCTCACCTCTCACAGGGCAGAAGTGACTCACTGTCTTGAAGCTGGGGTGCTGCTGGCTGGGTGGGTGAAATGCAGGCTCCTCAGTCTGTGTTTATCGGGCAGCTGCTGCGTGCTGGCCTGGGGCGTTCTTAGCCAGGCAGGTGGGTCCTCGTGGAGCGCAGGGTCCACTGGCACCTTCAGCAGGTTGGAGAAGATTCTTGTGAGCAGCCGGGAAAACAGGGAAAGTTTCATTTTTATTGGAATTTTTAAGAACTTTTTATTGAAGTACAAATACACAGAAAAGTGATGCAGCTTTACAAACCAAATACACCTGTGCACCCAGCGCGCGATGAGCGTTTCAAGGTGTGGAGGCCTTTCGTGGCCTGTGGACATTGAACTTAGCTGTGCAGGCCCCTCTCGAAGCCTTAGCTTCCCCTCCTGAAAATCGGGCACAATGTCATCCACAGCCCGAGCGGTTGTGGCACCAGGTGGTGTCACTGTGTGAACTGCAAAGCGCTGCCAGCCTGTGACGAGCGAGTGTTCTTTGTTATCTGTTCATGCCTGCTTGAGGTAGGAGGGGTGAGATTTGGGGACAGATTTTCTTTATATTCTATCTGCCCAACTCAGATATAATCGTGACATTCCTCTGCTTGATTTTTACAATGTCCTTCCCTGCCATGAAGAATTGTAGACCTGACATGGTGATGACGGGGGACAGGGATAGTGGGAGTGGCGAAGCCCCACAGAGGGTCCTGGCCTTGAATCTCCCGTGTGTCTTCTCATCCTTCAGAGGAGGGGGTCAGGATTTGAGCCAGGCGCTTCTCCTGGCGGCCTGACCTTACTCTGAACAGCGCAGGAAGCTATCGAAGGGGTTTGAGCAGAGGGGTGGCATTCCAGAGTGGAAACTGAGGCCACATTCCCAGGAAGGGGTCTGACCACGGAAAGTGGTCCACGAATTGTATGGGAATCCTGAGGCTCTGTCCGGCCTGGGCTTTGCAGCCAGGGCTGTGTCCTTGTGTCCCCATCCCCTGCCTTAGGCTGACGAAGGTGGTGTGACTTCTGTGCATCCCCTGGAAGATCAGTGTGGCCTGGTCATGGCATCCTTGTGGGAGGTAGTGGGTGTGGCATGAAGACTCACCCAGGCCTGGGTGGGACAAACGGCAGCCCTCAGCGGTGATTTCAGTAACAACACTGTGTGTTGCATTGAAAGGGCCTGTGAATGGCTCGGGCCTGCCCAGGCATCTCCCTGGCAACACCTTGGGGAGTGGCAGGAAGGAGCTGGAGGGCCTTGGGCACGGGCTGGGCAGGTGCCTGTGGGGGGCGGGGGGCAGTCTGTGCACAGAGCCCCTGTCCCAGGCCCTGCACCCCTGTCTCAGCCAGGGGTCTTCACAGACTACTTCTGTCCCCACAGCCTCACCGCTCCTGCTGTTTGCCAACCGCCGGGACGTACGGCTGGTGGACGCTGGCGGAGTCAAGCTGGAGTCCACCATCGTGGTCAGTGGCCTGGAGGACGCGGCTGCGGTGGATTTCCAGTTCTCCAAGGGAGCCGTGTACTGGACGGACGTGAGCGAGGAGGCCATCAAGCAGACCTACCTGAACCAGACGGGGGCCGCCGTGCAGAACGTGGTCATCTCCGGCTTGGTGTCGCCCGACGGCCTGGCCTGTGACTGGGTCGGCAAGAAGCTGTACTGGACGGACTCGGAGACCAATCGCATCGAGGTGGCCAACCTCAACGGCACGTCCCGGAAGGTCCTCTTCTGGCAAGACCTCGACCAGCCTCGGGCCATCGCCTTGGACCCCGCTCACGGGTAAACCCAGGCGCCTGTCCGCCTTGGTAGGCGGTGAAGTGGGGTGGGGTGGTCATGGTTTCCCTCTTGAATTTACTTGAGCCCAAGTTGCTTTTTTAGAGAAAACCTGGCAGCCTGAAAATGAGTGTACCTTTCAGAATCTGTTGTTGTTGAGTATTATCTTCCCTCGATCGTCCATCGTCAGGTTTTTTTTTTTTTTTTTAAACTTGCCACGCTCAGCCGTGGCTTTGAATCGTCAGACGTCTCTGTTGTGTGTGTGACGGGACCCGAGGAGACATAGACGCTCTAACAGGTGGAATCTGCACCTCATACTCTGGTCTATCCCGGAAGCCCTTGTTCCCATTTGCTCCCCCGTCTGAGCTCATGGAGGCCTGTGCGGGCTCAGGGCCTGGCCCCGAGTTCCAGATGGGGTTTGTGAGTGGTGGGAATGCTGGGAACGTATGAAGAGTTGCAGGCTGGGATGGAGAGACTGTAGGGAGATGGCCGAGTTTCACTGGCCAGCCAGGCCAGGTTCATTCCAGACTTTTCCAAGTGGGAGCTGTTTGCTCAGTCACCTCTCAGCCCTCCGTCCCCTCTTCCTGCAGTCTGGGAATGACACACTCTTACCTGGGCTGCACCAGGCCAGGTGACCTCCTGCTGGCAGCGGCCGACCTACTGCCATGTCTGTCCCGTTCTCTGCTGGCTTAGTTGTCAGAGACGGCTCTCTGACATCTTGAGCAGAAACACAATAGCTTTTTTTTGGCCTCAGGCCCTGTGGAAATACTGTGTGCTAGTTTACTTAATGTCACCACACCCTTCGGAGAAGTACCAGCCTGGGCCTTTGCAGATGAGAACAGCGAGGGAGGATTGTCTGTGGGACACGCCGGAATTGTCTAAGTTAGAGAATCCCAAGACGGAATTTGAACCGAGCCCTGTCTCGACTGGGAGCCCGTGCTGGTGACTGTGCCGCCTGCAGCCCAGGCTGGAGAGTCGGAGGCCTGCGGGCGTGGGGAATTTGGGAGGTTTGGAAGCTGAAGGAACAGCCGTGTGAGGGGCGCGGTGTGGCCCAGTCAGCCTTCTTACGCGAATGTGTTGCCTAAGTGTAGTGCACTGGACTGGCCTCTGATGTGGGGGGAGAGCTGGCTGGTTTGTGTAAAAGCCGTGTGTGGGCGACTGAGTGTGGGAGTGTGTGAGCCTGTGTGTGTGTATGTTCGAGAGTGTGTATACATGGATGTGTGTGCGTGGGTCAGTGCACACACCCGGTGGGTAGGATGGGGTGGAATTTACAGCCCCACTGTCTGACTCACTGAGATCAGGCCAGATGACCTGGTGCCCCCACCACCAGAGGAGCACCCCAGCCTCAGTGTCCTGGGGTTGAGGGTCCATGCTGAGCAGTGACTTCCCTGTAGGCCCGTCTCACCCACTTCCAAGTGAGCTGAGCTGCCCAGGGGCCAGGCTGACCTTCTGGGATGGTCTCTGCACTGCCTGGTGAACGGTCCCCATCTCAGACCTCTCTCACGCCACCATTTGGCCCCAAGACTCCTGGAGTCACTGACCCCCTTCCGGAGGGGGCGGCTGGCATGGCCAAGTCTCCTTAGCTGAGAGCGGGCACCTGTCAGTGGTGGGAGAGGCTGAGGGGAGCAGCCTTGAGACCCTTATGATGCACTGGAGAGAGAAGGCTGTAAATGGAGAGTGTTCTGAGAGGGGTATGTGCCAGGGAGGAGAATAAAATAGGGCCCGAGAATGGGAAGGGTGGGGTGAGGGGCTTCCCAGTGTAGGTCCAGAGCCTACTTTTGTGACTTTTGAGCAGGGACCTGAGGCAGGTGAGGGCGAGAGCCATGTGGCAGTGTGGGGAAGGGTATTCCAGCTGGCGGGAACAGCCAGTGCAAAGGCCCTGCGGTAGGAGGGGCTGGGCCTGTTGGAGGGGCTGTGGTGGAATGAGGGAGGATTGGGGATGGCATACAAAATGGGCAGGAGCAGATCAAGTTTTGAGTGGAGGAGTCACCTGGTCTGACTCATGTTTAAGGGGATCCCTCTGGCTGTTGGAATGAAAGTAGCTTTCGGGGTGGGGGCAGGACCACCAGCTGCCATTACTGTGATGCTGGCAGTAGAGGGTAGCGGCTTGGACCAGGGAAGGAGTGAGCTGGGGGTGCAGAGTAGCCAGATTTGGGATCGATTTTGAAGGCGGACCCAGATGGATTTGCTGGCACTTTGCATACAGGTTGGAGAGAAAGACAAGCAAGAATGGTACAGTGCTGCTGTGTGCCTCAGTGTCCCCATCTGTACAGGGGCGTGACTATGTCACATGTCATGCAGAAAACACCGAGAATAGTTAGTGGGTTCAAGACACGTTAGGTGTTGTTATGCTAAACGTGGCCCTCCCCACACCGGAAGTAGAGTCTTCATGTCCATGAGCAGATTTCTCTTTTTTTCTTCCTGTGGCCTTTCGCCATTTGGGTTGGGAGGTGCTTGACCTTGGTTTTGAGGAACTTGGTACTCGGTTGGAAGGTGCTTTGTGCTTGGTTGGGAGCAGTCTTCATACTCCCATCCAGGCTGGCTTTGCCTGCACCATCTCCCGTCAGCCTCTGGCTTTTCTCATTAAATGTTTGGAATCCTTTCTGATCTTGCCTCTGAATTCTCCCCCAGATCTACCTAGGATCACACCCCTTCCCCCAGGGCAAACCTGAGTTTGGCGTTGGTGTCCTGGGCAGGACTGCTGAGGCCCCATCTCTCCCCCACGCCTTCTCCTGCCCTAGTTATGCGTCTGATGAATGAGGGCGTGAAAATGGGGGTAGTAGTCTGTGCCACTCGCCAGATCGAACGCAGGTGGGAATGCAGGACAGTGGTCCCCAAGTTCCTCTGTGACTGTGGCTGAGATGCCCCTTTGGCACCACGTTGCCCAGGAGGAGAGGACTCCAGGCCAGTCCATTGGAGTTTGGGCTGAGTCCTGGGGGCAGGACCCCTGTCTGAGAATGGGGTCTTGTCCTTCATCCTGGCCACAGACACAAGGTTGCAAGGAGCAGCTTTGCCCCCTCCTGACCCCGTTGGACCCCCCCTCCCCCGCCCCGCCAGCTCCTGTGTCCTCCTGTAACACCATCCTCCACTGGGGTCCTTAGAGGAGGGGGTATCTGCCCCCACCAACATTAAGAAGGAAGGTTCTCAGTCCAAATGTCCACATCTGTGTGCGTGCAACCAAGAGCCTGCAGCCAGGAAGGCGCACAGACCCCAGAGACTGGACTTGAGCAGTTCCAGTGACGCAGGGGCAAACACAGGCATCCTCGGGGGTGGCAGAGCGGGCCCTGGGGAGGACCCTCTGGCCCTGAGTATCTGAGCTCAGTACTGGGGGAGGCCCGGCCTGTGCCAGCCCATGAGGGGCTGCAGTGGCTCCTGGGTCTCAAGTTAAAGCTGGCTTGAAACCCAACCCCCTCTTTAAAATGCAGAATGGCCCTTCCCTAAAATAACACAACCACAACCGCAGCCTCTGCACAAAGCCCAAGCTGCAGTGCTTTTCTTCGGAAGTTGATTTCCCTCCGTGGAATTTGGCCGGGCCTGTGGCAGCGCTCAGGACTTTGCAAGAGCATGTCCACGCCAAGCCGTCTCTGGTAACTGAGTGGCTTGCAAATTCCCCATTTAAGGAAACCAGCAGCCTCTGTTATGAAACTCGGGGGAAGGAATTTGAATTATGCTCCTCGCGGAGGTCCGGAGCCTTCATATTTTCTGGCCTGTCCCACTGGCCGCGGTTGAGCCTTGGGGGAGGCCGTGAGGGGATTGCTCTGAGATTTATTCTCCTGATACCTTCTCGATGGTGGTGGTGTGGCTGGTGGCCGGCCGGCGGGAGGGCTGGGCTCTGTCCAGGCTGTGGGGGGTGGGAACGAGGGGAGACACCAGGCGGAAGCCCTTGCCGAGCTGGCCGACACCACCTGTGAACCTTGGGCTGCCAGGAAAAGTTCACCAACACCCCGGTCCTGCTGGCGCAGGGCTGAGTCATATGATGACCAGGCCCTGGCCTTTGCTGGAGAACCACCCTGTGCTCCCAGAGCTGCCACTGGCATGTGACCCGGGGCAGGTCAGCCTTTCAGAGAACCTCAGTTTTCCCATCTGCCCGGTGGGAATAGTAATTCCCACTTTCCCTGGCCAGCTGAGTTCTCTCTAGATGTGAAGGGGACAACAAAAGGGGCTTTTTGGAGAGGGGTTCAGTGTGAGACGTGCTCTCCTGTGTGTCCCACCAGGGAGCTTGGTGACAACAGCTGGGTACAGTTGGCCCCTGAGGGGAGGGGAGTCCGTGTCACACGAAGCCCCTGCTCATTCCCATTAATCTCATCACAGGAAGTGGTGACAGCACTGGCCTAGAGATGACACCTTGTGGTTTCCGTAAATGGGGAATTTGGGAAGGCTGCGTGGCCCCTGGATGGGGGTACCCTCAGGTACCCCCAGCTCCTGTGGCCGCGGAGCTCCCATGGCAGGGCAGGTGGCAGCTACGTGAGGAGGTGGTGGTTTGTCGTGGTTGGGTGCCCCTGGCTGGGAACTTGAGAGCGTGTAGGAGCAAAGCCAGGTCCCCTAAAAAGCCAGGTCCCCCACAAACCCAGCCAGGAGTAACTGCTGTGATTAATGCAGTGTACACCCCACCTACGTGGTGGTATTTTTTTTAAATAGACTTCATTTTTTAAAAAGCAGTTTTATGTTTGCAGCAAAGTTGAGGGGCAGGTACAGAGAGTTCCTATACATCCATGTAGATTCTGTGAGTTTTGACAAAGGTTTAATGTTGTGTACCCACCATTGTAATATCAAACAGCCGTTTGACTGCGCTGGAAGTCCTCTGTGCTCCGTCCGTTCCCTCCCTCCCTGCTCCAGCCCCTGGCAGCCCCCGATCTTTCTACTGTCTCCATAGTGTCGTCTTTTCCAGAACGTAATATGGTTGGAATCACACAGTTGGTACCATTTTCAGACTGGCTTCTTTCACTTCATAATATACATTTAAGGTTCCTCCTTGCCATAGCTTAATAGCTCATTTCTTTTTAGCTCCAAATAATAGTTCATCCTACATGTTTTTAGTTGTCTTTTAGAGGTTCGTTTACAGCATTTTCATGGTAGCAAAAAAATCATATACAGCTCAAACATCCAATGCGGAATTACTTAAATCATTTATAGTAAATAAATTATAATCTGTATCACCATTGAAAGAACAAGGAGGATTTCAATTAGTAAAAAGACAGGGTGGGGCCGGCTGAGTGGCACGTTAGTTAAGAGTTGGCTTGGGAGGGCGAGCTCTGAGCAGCAGGGCCGC